TGATTCTTTTACTGCCCCCTAACACTACTGCACACTTTAGTTCACAGCATTCGATGCATGACCTGCCATTTGAGAGGAGGGATGTTTTATCCGAATTTCATCCACAAAGACTATTCTTCCATTAAATTTAGTCTTACTGTTTACTCTCCAACTGGATGAATTGCAGCTTCAGAGGGACATGAATACCCATGTCATGATATTTACAGCAGTGGTTGCACACAAGCCACAGAGAAGACAGAATCTTGAAACAGATCACACGTTCTAAAATACAGCAAACAAAAAAGGCTATGGGAGACAAATCTGTCCCTTTTCTGGAGGGGCCTATTATTTAGCAGAAACTTGAGAAGTGGTTTTAAAAATGTTGTATGAAAACGCTGTTGCATTGAACACACTGAAATGGGGCTCAGTGTGATCAGACAGGGACTTGTCTCCTCGTACGTCACTTGTGCCTCCGTGTGCAAAACACACTTATGGTTGGGTGGCCAGCTTGGGCATTTCAGGTTTTTTTGTTGTTGTTGTAACATTAATTACATGGTACCCTCTCCACTACCATTACTCACGGGGAAAAGGCAGTGCTAAGTAGTTAACCTGAAAAGAAAAAAGTCCAGAGGAGACGGAGATAAGTATCAACGGAGTAACTGCACAACAACAGTAATTACAAAGCCCAGTTTCTTCTTGTGAACACTGCTGCACCACCGTCACTGCACTGACAGTGCCCCTGCTGCGGTGTGGGTCGCTACGCAGCAGTATCAAAGCCAGGATTTGTGGACTATCTCACTGAAGGAGGTTATAAATCATCCATGCAAGAAAATTATATAGCCCTGAGCAGAAGTCAGAATTCACCATGCTGACTATGAGCAAGTGCAAGGAAAAGCCATTTGCACTATTTGAAATAGCCACATGTCCAAACACTTTTCCCCTTCAAAGCACCATACCAGAAAATGTTTACTTGAAAGGTCCATGCCTTTCTCTTCCAAACACACAAAAATATTTAAAGTGTCCAAGTTACCCGTTACATTAGCAGAAAAATCACCAATCATATTTGGTATCAGCCACTGCACTACTGTAGGCATGCACAGACCAGGTAAGAAATAACTGCTTACAAACATACAGTCAAGGGGACCCAAATTCCCCTTTGAAGGCTGCTTTAAAGATGAACTTCAACTGAAGCTAATCTTTTAAAACTTTTTAAAACAAGCACCTCTCCCTACACATCCTCTAGTATCTTTCTTTTAGAACATTTTTATTGGTTTATACAGGTTGAGAAAATGACTAAAAGCAAGACCAAAAAGGGATATTATGCTTTACCAAGGTTTTGGGGAGCCAGATTCCCCTTTGAAGGCTGCTTTAAAGATGAACTTCAACTGAAGCTAATCTTTTAAAACTTTTTAAAACAAGCACCTCTCCCTACACATCCTCTAGTATCTTTCTTTTAGAACATTTTTATTGGTTTATACAGGTTGAGAAAATGACTAAAAGCAAGACCAAAAAGGGATATTATGCTTTACCAAGGTTTTGGGGAGCCAGATTATAGAAGTGTTCCTTGTAATCCCCTTTGAAGGCTGCTTTAAAGATGAACTTCAACTGAAGCTAATCTTTTAAAACTTTTTAAAACAAGCACCTCTCCCTACACATCCTCTAGTATCTTTCTTTTAGAACATTTTTATTGGTTTATACAGGTTGAGAAAATGACTAAAAGCAAGACCAAAAAGGGATATTATGCTTTACCAAGGTTTTGGGGAGCCAGATTATAGAAGTGTTATCCTTGTAATGATTTTTTTTAACTACTTCAAGGAGGCTTGAATAGAATTTCTGTGTTTAATTTTTATTAAAATAAGACATTTGCATTTGGAGGCTCTTCAGGACACAGGGTCCTGTGCCCTGCGGTTGCAGTACAGTCAAGGCATGCATGTTTTATAGCAACCCTACTTTTGCATAGTTAATATTGCTTGATTATTTAAGTTGTAGCATTGTATGAGCTGCATATGGCATGCTAAGTGTTCTCTTAAAGGATAACTATTGTCTTTTAAAAAAAAGGAGGATCAAAGTCTTAGTGGGGAGTGGGTAGGAACCTCATAAGAGCCTTCTCCATAAACACCATTTTTAATCACATGCTTTTTAGGGTAAGAATCAAACCTCCTCACTTTTTCAGTGTTGAAAACACTATAAACTCCCAAACCTGGAAAAGCTCAACTTTGTCACAGTGATTTAGTTTCATTATGTATTTCAGTCGTTCAAAGGTTCTGTCTTAATACCATGAAGTTCAGTGCTACACAGTGCAGCTATCGTACTCAGGTTGAAAAGCCAGCCTTTGTTGTGCTCAGTAAGTACATACACAGTTTTCAGTGTTGGAAGATGTTTTTCAGATGTGAGATGTTATACAACATTTATTAAATAACTATTCATTTTTTTCAATCAAAAATAGGCTGGCTCCCACGATGATTAATCCTTGATTGAGTTGAAAAGCGCAAGGTTTTTTCTTATTAGGCAGGGATTTTTGTTTTCAAGTGAAAGGTCATACGAACATGAAAAATATTACAATACTTGCAAATTTTAGAATTAGTATCACAGAACAACCCCAAACCAAAACAAAAATGTGTTTTCACCAAGAACTAGAAGTAAAGATGTTTACACTTTTTCATGTACTAATTATTACTTTTAACTCACTAAGTTTAGAAATGTAGGTATATTTGGAGACATCCCACACCTCCTTCTCATTTATAGCCAACATTTACCTCATGATCAAATGAAAACTGAATTTCTTCCCATTTACCCATGAAAAAGGAGTCAGTGCCGTCACAATGAAGAGAATAGCCAAATTTTGCACTGACTTCAGTAGAAGAAAGTAAGAAGAGTTAATTCAAATAACTGAACCATACAAATGGATGCAGACTATATAAAGTAACATGAAAAAACTAACCGCTTGCTAGCCCTACAAATAAAGCAGTTTGTATCATCAGCAAGATGGCTGCAACACAACTTCAGCATTTGTGAAATGAATCATAAATCTAGCCTGTCTTAAAAATGTTTCTATTTAAAAGATGATGCAACAAAAAAAGCAAACACATTTGTATCTACAACCAGAAATAGTGACTTGAATATTATACTGTTAAAGGCTTGCTTTTCAGTTTACCTTTCCTGTCGAACTTGAGTTATTTCAGTCTAAAAGTCAATCATTCACAAGAATTTACTAATTAAGAAACTGATGATATAGTTGTCCTAAATAAACTGTTTGAATGATAAGTTATTAGAAAATTGTACAATCAAGTAGACATATTTACAGAAATCTGTGTGATATCTTAAGGAATATAACAGTTGACAGCTTTAAACTGAGTGACAAGTGATCAGAGAAATCCTACCACAAAATGTTCTAAAAAGTCAACGTTTTAAAAGCACATGTAAAAATTAATTTCAGGAATAAAATGTATCATAGTTCTTTAGTTCAAAAAAATAGTAGCATCACATCTCTGTTGTCCTTAAAATAAAATCGACTAGCTTCCAGCATTGATAATTTTCCCATTTAATTCAATGAGCGTAGCACACAGCTTAGACAGGCATATGATGTTCTTTACATATGCAAAGTTCTTAGTTTATTATAACTTACTTACAGAATTTCTTTCCCCTACCCATTTTTTCCAGAGATTTCTGCCTAGAAGGCAGAAAACTTAAAAGGACACAAGGAGAGAGAAGGTTGTTCAAACTCAATGCTTTGCTTTCATGCACACTGGAGGAATTTGCTAGCAGTACACTTTCACTTCATCAATTCAGCAAGAAACACAATGTGATTCTTCAGATTGCTCTTCAGTTGACATTCAGAAGCACCAGCCTGACAATTAATACAGGCATGTGATGCTGAACGAGTAGGGAGAAGGTAAAGGGAAAATCTTTTCTTAAAGCCAGCCATAAACTAAGTAGAACTTAACAAGTTCACTACAAAGTTTAATTGTAGAAGGATAATTAGAAAATATATACAAGAATATATATGGAAATATACTACATATACAGAACACCACCTCTGTGGCCACTTAATGAAACTAAGACAAGACACCAAGCTAAAAAAAATACCGTAAAAATTAGGACATGTTATGCAGGTTGGATACCTAGTAGCTGGTTTGTCCACACCTGTCATACCACACAAGAAAATCAAGGAAATTCTTCACTTAACATCTCAACGCATCAGTCATGGCAATCAAAAATGTCTATGTGGATGGAGTGCTGGACTGAAACTTAGAAGACTGCTTCATTTCCAGCTCTGATGAGTATAGAATTCCTTTCTTCATCTCTCTCACCCTGCCTATTAATGGGGATAATTATGCTGACCTCCTTTATAAAGCACCTGAAAATCTACAGTTAAAAATGTTCTTAAACATGTAATTATAAGTAATAGCAATCATGTATCAAACTTCAGTTATCAACTCATCGCATGAAAGCAAGAATCTGATTGTTCCTGGAATTAGTACACAAAATTCAATTTTTCCACCGACATTAGCTTCCTAGTACTTTCATCATTATTACAACAGCTGCATTATACTAAGATGCACTAAAGAACCTGACTACATTAACTGACATTTTGAAGATCTTCCAAGCTTTGAACAACAAAAGACCCAGGATTTTTTTTCATCCAAAATTTCCATGTTAAACAAAGATACTTTTGACCAGTTTCAAGCTTAGATGCTATTCTGAACCTGCAGCTTGAATTGTTGCAATGACTCCATTCTAAAACAGGCTGTAGCACTTTGCAAATGTATTTTGCTGTTACATCCATCAACCCCTCTCTCCCTACAGGGACTGGTCAACAAGGGTACATTTTCATCATCGCCACTTAGGCTACCAGCTTCTCCTCTTCTTTCCTCCACATCTATATGTTACTTTCCTCCTTTCAGCTGCACACAATGCCCTTAATCACTCAGTATGTTTGATGTGCTCATTCTTCTTTCATCTTGTGCTACTTAAAAATGAAAAAAAGGTGAGAGGATTTGATATAAAATTAAGCTACTTACCAACTACTGCCAGATTATGCTCTGAGCCACATGCGATCTGAAAAAGAAGTATGAATGAATAAAAGAGAACCCGCTTACCAGTAGGAAGACAACCACAATTATGAGAGGAAATTAAAAATTAACCTGAAGCAAACAACTACAGTTTGTAGGATGCAAAATCAAAGTTGAAGTGCTCTCACTTTTAAACGAAATTTCATTTGTAGTCTCACTTAGGGGCTTGGTGGCAGGGGGATACGTTTGTTTGTTTTGTTAATAAACAGGCATTTTCTTTTCAAAATGCAGTCACCACTGACATTTCAATCTTTAGGAGTAAGACTGGCCACAATTCTGCAAAAACATCACACCCTGGACAACATCCACTGGATCCAACAAGACTATTCACGGGCATAGAGCAAACACAGATTAAGCCTTTGCAAGACCAGAGCCATCCAGAGACAGCTGGAATCAAAAGGGCGATGACAATCTCCATTTCTCTTATCTATACTGTTTTTCCAGATGATCCCTGTAGAACTGCACAAAGCATAGAGGCTCAGTGTGATAAACCTGAAGTGATATGATCTCTATGGTCATTTGTCTAGAATGGAGAAAAAATACAACAGAACTCAACTCTTCTATTAGCAGCAGGCTGGTGTAATTTTTATAAGCTGCAGAAAAAAAGAAAGAAACCAATGCAAACATTTTCTCCCAAGCTCATTAGTGACAGAAATCAGTTATAAATTTCTTTTCAAAGCAAACTCATAGTTCAGTGTATTTTTCTTTCTTCTTTGCAGCTGCTGTGAACATGTCAGATGTTTAAGTTGCTTTAGCATAATATACCACATAATATCACTCACTAAGCTTTCATAAGTTCTTCAGAAATGATGGTAACACAAGCACCGACAGCAGCCTGCTGCCTACTGCAAGGGCTTGTCTCTCCCATTGAATTCTTCTGCAATGTCACTGCTGGCGTAATTGTCTGACATAATACAGACATAATCTTACACAAGGTTACCCTGCTGAGTGCCCTTAAGTTTTAATTTAAAACACGAGCAATCCCCTCAAAATCCTGTACCCGGTTCATTGTCTTACACCTAGCTGCCAATTACACGTACTACTGAGCTGAATAAAATGAATAAGCACATTCTTCTACTTCTTAAAAGTACATTTGCAATGATAAAACATAAAACAGAAGTATATTAAAAAGATAGAAGTCCATACCATCAAAATTTTATATGGTTTTGTGCGTGCAAAACTTTATAGTTTTTATGGCCAGAGAAACTTCTGCAATCGCCTCAATGTCTGCATAACATAAAACCATAGAAGTTAACAAAACAGTCCTTGTACTCAGCCCACTGTGCTTGAGCGTTTACTGGAAAAGAGATACCCAAGACTGACACACAGACTAGCTTAAGCGATTGTGTTACAAATAAACACTGCAATCACTACTACTCACAATGTACCCGCACCACAGCTGTGACATGAAAACATTTGGTCAACACCATCCTAAGACAACAATGGCAAGGAAGACAAAACAGACTCTTTAGGATAGAGGTGCTTAGCCAAGACATTAAAGCATTCAGGAAAATGGGACAAGAAAAATAATTCAAGTCACTGCGCACTCCAGGATGGACTCATCTTCAGAAAGACATTTTATATGGTTTTGTGCGTGCAAAACTTTATAGTTTTTATGGCCAGAGAAACTTCTGCAATCGCCTCAATGTCTGCATAACATAAAACCATAGAAGTTAACAAAACAGTCCTTGTACTCAGCCCACTGTGCTTAAGCATTTACTGGAAAAGAGATACCCAAGACTGACACACAGACTAGCTTAAGCTTCAGACAAAGCAGCAGGAAAAGCAACACCTTTGCAAGAGCACTAGCAGGGCTGCATCAAGTCTTCTATTCCACAACACTGCAGGCAGGCAAAGCTTTAACCCCTGACTGTTAAAATGCATAAATCATTGCCATATCCCATATCATTATCCTCGCCACATGTCAGAGCCCTACACGGGAGCAGGGCTGGTTCCTAAGGCCTATTCACTGGCTAATGCTCCCATCAATGCTTCTCGAGCTTAAAGGTTGGTGCCATGGAAACAAGATCCACACATGCAAACACACACGAAGGCTTTCTAGCAAAAAGCAAAGTCTGCATCTTCACCAAGTGCTGAAAATTGGAGATATTGAAGCTGCTGCTAATAAAATAAACAAACTTTTTCTGAGGAGTGAATAATTCTCTCTCTGCTACTTCCCTAGGAAATACGCTAACACAGGCACCGATCCAAAAGTGTCAGTACAAAAGAACTGCTCAAGCTGGTGGCTTATATTTACTGCCAGGATCCCTTTTCAGAAACACTACATTAAAAAAAAAACAAAACAAAAAAAACCCCACCACCACCCAAACAAAATGTTGTTTAGAATGTAAAACATCCCCTGACAAAGAAGCATTTTCTTCCTATATCTAATAGCAGCAGCTACAGAGCCTGCAAACCAGATAAAAGAACGCTGGTGACCTCATAAAGCTTTGTACTCTACTCATATAACTGTTACTCCACCCACCTTTCTAGAGCCACCCGCTAGCCAGCTTATCAGGCTGTAAGGGAGTCAGTCAAACCGCACTGGGTACAACCAGACCAGGAACTGCTATATTATACAGACCCGCCAGCTCTGGGGAGTTGCCCCCATGACGGCCAGTCACGGCCAACACGCTGTGCAGATGCATTCACTGCAGCTCTGTAGCCTGATGGGGTAAAAGCTACTGCAAAGCACAAGTGACAAGTGCTGCTGCACCCCTTTCGGTCAGGTAAAAGCCACCTCAGATGGAAGTGCCAGCTTTGCCAACAATGACTGAAATCAAGCAAAAATCACAAGCTGCTGAAGGCAGTACCCTAGCTTAACCTTCGATGGCCCAGAGCAAGGACAGCACACACCACGTACAGCAGTACTGTACTCCAAAGAAGAATTTGCTAGATTGAGAACACAAGGTTCACCACCTCTGCCTTATCGCAGGGTGTCAGCACCTGACAGCACAGACTGACTTTGTAGGAGCCCTCATATGAAAAATACCCCTAGAGGACTCTAAAGTTAGCTTTGTAAAACAACAGCCTTATTCACCGCCCATGCTGCTCGCTACGGGCTACACCATCCACCCACAGGATTCCTGCTGGCCTGCACACCTATGACTCTGGAGCTCAAAAGGGACCACACCACAGAGGTGAAGCAAGGTTGCCACTGCTTAATGAGAAGTGCTGCCTTGCAGGTACTTCATAACATCTTTTTTACAATAAGCTTCAAAATGTGACACCCCCTTTTCTTCATGACTCCCCACAACAGGCAACAATCAGCCAAGAACATGTAATTTGCTGGTACAAATACGGACCAGCCAGAAAACGGCATTGCTGAACAGATGTTTTATGCTCACATTAGATGTAATAAGCTCTGCAGTCAGTGCAGGTCACTGGGAGAAGCCTGGTATTTACTGCAGCAACCATAATTTTCTGGCTACTTCTCTTCTGTCCCCACCCCCAACATGCTGCAGAGAAATTAAATTCCAACAGACATCTGTGTGCTCCCAGTGGATAAGTACATTCAAGGGTACTTATAAACACTCAATAATGCTTTCTAATTGGGCAATATTTTTACATTCTGTTTTAACTGGGAAAAAAAAATCACTAATCTTAAAGACAAATCAGAGTGACTGTTAGTGAGTGAAGCATTCTGTGAGCCTAAAGAAACATGACCCCCTACACAGAAAGAATTCATAGTAAAGCTTCTTCTCTGTTTGGAGGAAAATTTGAGAAGAGTTGTGCAAGTATATTGTGATCTCTATGCAAAAGATCTCAAAGCACTTTACAAACGCCTGTGAGGCAGGAAAAGAATGCTTAGGGACCATTTTGCTCAGAACTCATTTACCTTATTATCCGTGCCCTTTCAACCATACATAAATTGTTTGTTTCTTCCCTTAAATTGTGTGTTAGCAAGCTGTTTTCTACCTAGCAATGGCTGCAGTTCAGATCCATCCATCCATGCACATTAACACACGTGGTGAGAAGCAGCCAAGGGCCCAGCATTTTATTAATCGTAAATAGTCAGGACATAAGCTGCATGGATGGTGAGGAAAGACCTTAGCACAGCAACCACTAACTCTGGACAAAACACCAACATCTTTCTGCAGCCTGCAGATATGCCTATGGCCCAGCCCTAACAAAAATTAATTGATTGAATGTAAAAGCAGTGGGTTACACAAAATAAAGTATTTCACTTAAGATTAAAATATTCTATATATTTTAAATACTATATGAAGCATAAAAATAACATCTTTAACATATATATGTGTAGATATATAAGAAAATGTGTGCATACATAATGTATTTATGCATATTAGGAAGAGAAGGTCATCTGCTCAAGAAGATGTTCTCAGGGAAGAAGGTTCAGAGGAGAGGTTAGGGTAAATGCAGAGCGCCTCCCTCCAGGACAGAGATCTTTCTGAAGAATAGCTATCCCTCCTTTTGCTCCCCCCACAGTCCTGTGAGGTACGAAAGTATTGTTCTCTCCTTTGTAGACAGTAAACAAACACATACAGGATAAAATTCATGCGGGTATTTAGACATACAATCTCCCATTGATTTCAAAAGGTAATTAAGAGACAAAATACCTTTTGTCAACCATCCCCTAAGGGACTTCCAAGCACTATAACAAAACAAGTCTGACAAGGCCTATAAAAATCCAAGTTTCAGGCTAGTACCTTGACCACAAGGCTATTCTTTCTTTTCTTTCTGTACTCCCAGGGCTCCGACCGAGGATCTGTTGTGGTCAGGAAAACGATCGAGTCAGAGCTGCAGGCAAAGTCAGCCTAGTGCTGCAGCAGAGGGGAAGGGACAGTACGGGGCGTTGCAAGGAAGAGGCATGGGGAGCTGGACTCACAAGGGGGACTGCAGAATGAAAATCCACAAGCATCTGAACATCAGGGTGCTTAGCTCGAACAAAAGGACCTCAACGCCATTTATTTTTCGTTTGCTGCCCTACGAGTGCAGGTTAATTCCCTACAGTGCAATTATTTC